TAAGCATGGGGGTTAGATGGACGGGACAGGTTCAGTGTCCCATTGCATGGGGCCAGCAGGTCCCATTCACATAGATCCGATGTGAACAAGCCTCCCAGAGCTGGGAGTGCCACGTGATTCTATGTGGGTGAATCTTGAGAACTTAACATCGAGTAAGAAGTTACAGAATATTTCCCATAGAATAATTTCAGCACTTAAAAAACAGCAGAGAGAAACAGTGTACTGCATAGGAATCCATACATACATAGTGAGCCCATAACGAAAACAGTGGAATGGCTAACACAAGACAGTAGTTACTTACCGGGCAGGAGAGGGAGTGCCTGCTGGTAATGTTCTATTTCTCAACTTGGTTTATGCAGACTTAAGTGTTCATTCATCAGTATCCTTTAATCTGTTTGTGTATTTTTTTACACACACACACACATACATTTACATACACATGCATACTCACTTATCCAGAAAGACTGGTTTGGACATTTAACTTGTTGCAAAACTGGAGCAAAGGATTAAACCAGTTGAGCTCAATCTTTTCCTATTTACTTTGAATTTAGTGGGGTTAGGTTTCAGATAACATATGTATATGGTTTTTAAAAATATATTTTAAAATGTTTTTCTCTCTCTTGGGTCCTTTTAATAGCTTTTTGGAAGAAATTTCATTTTGTTTATCGTCATTGGCACTATGGAAGAAATGCAAAACAAAGCCGTGGTTTTCTTTGTGTTTTATCTGTGGAGCACAATTGAAATTTTCAGGTGGGTAGAAATGCTAGGATGGTGTTTGAATCCTTCTCCTTTGAATCAGCTCTCTTCTTAAGAGAGATGCTGACTTACCCAGAGTCTCATTTGGTTTGGGATTAAGGATCCACCCTTGGAGAGTGTAGCTGCAGCTATGTGCTCTGCAAACGTGAGGCAGAGTTGTTGTTTTAAGCCGCCATTGGATCGTAGTGCCAGCCTGGGCACTGGGGAGCAGGAGAGACCCAGAGAAATGAAAAGACCCATCTTTCCCTTCAGGATCTTGTCTTGGTGGGAAGAGAAAAATTCATGAAAGGGCTGAAAAGATCTGGGGTTGAAGGAACAATCCAGGTTGAGTGGAAATAGTGAAGACTAGCCTTCTAAAAGGGATGGTAAAAATGAATCTTTTACTGTAAGATTTCTGAAGTTTAAATTGACGGCTTGCTTACCTGCTTCTTCCATCCCCAGTTGTTAATAAAATAATCTTTTTTAAAAACCCAATTAAAATAGGTATATTCTTCTCTATCAGACCATACATATTCTATAAGTGGTTTGAGGCTAAAGGTGTTTGGTGGTATGCTTAAGTATAGTTAATTTTTATAGCATTCGTTTATCCAGAGATAAAGTGCTGTCAATGTGTCTGTCAGCCTTACCTACTTGGAATGTCAATCAGAACTAGGAATAAAGCCAATAAACTTCTTATCACCCATTCCACTTACTCAACTATTTCAGAGAGGGTTCCTTTGAGACCTACACTTCCTCTGTCTTCAAAGAGAGTTCACATCCTTTGAAGGTCGGAGGAGCATGTGGGAGTTTGTGGGTAGATAGCCCAGGATTATACTTCTGTTCTGAAGAAGATGTGTGGCTAATTGTGAAATGGTTCTGTTTGAATGGCTTTCAATATCTGAATTCCTTTACTTTCAATAGGTACCCCTACTACATGCTTTCCTGCATTGACATGGATTGGAAAGTGCTCACATGGCTCCGTTACACTGTGTGGATTCCGCTGTATCCTCTGGGATGTTTGGCAGAAGGTACTTTCAGGAACTCTTATGTTTTATAGCTCAGCCCCAGGGGACAGCTTCGCCATAGGCCAGATCTTTCTTCCTCCCTCTGCCAGCCTTAGTCAGTCTTTGGAAGTTGGACTTTTCAAGATTATCTTCCTAGTGGCTTCCTTCCATAATACTGCTGGTGTCCAGACAGTTCCAGGGATGTGACACATTTGAGAGCTGGTGGTCATGCTTCCTATTTCTATGGTAGTTTTAATTTTCTGAAGCAGGTTCATATTTTTATTTTACTGTTTGTTTTTTAATTGATGTTAGAGAGGAAGTGAGAGGGAGAGATAGAAACACCAGTGTTGAGAGAGAATCATTGACCAGCTGCCTCCTACACACCCTTCTGGGGATTGAGCCTGTAATCTGGGCATGTGCCCTGATCAGGCATCAAACTGTGACATTCTGGTTCATAGGTCAGTGCTCAACCACTGAGCCACACTGGGTAGAGCAGTTTCATATTTATGACTTAATTTTATTCTGACTAACAACCAGTGGGAGGGATTTTTCTCTCTACTTTATAGAATGTCGTATATCATTTTCAACAAACCCATAACTGAAACTTGGAGGAGTTAAAAGGTGCTGTCACTAGATGTGACTACTTTATTTGCTTCTAACAAGTTCTTGTTTCTGCTTCAGCTGTTTCTGTGATCCAGTCCATTCCAGTGTTCAATGAAACAGGGAGATTCAGTTTCACGTTGCCATATCCCATGGAAATCAAAGTTAGATTTTCCTTTTTTCTTCAGATTTATCTTATAATGTTATTTTTAGGTAAGTATTGGTTCTGTAATAGACTTTTTCCTCTCACTTCATTAGAGTGTAGAGCTAAATGATTCAAACTTTTAAAAGTCCCTTGGGTTTTAATCCAGGACTGCTGGCTCCCAACTGCTCTCCTGCCTCACCTGATAGCCCCTAACTCCTTCTGCCTGCCATCCTGATCACCCTTAACCACTCCCCTGCAGCCTGTTTGCCCCTAACTGTCCTTCCCTGCTGGCCTGATTGTCCACAACTGCCTTCCCCTGCAGGCCTGGCCACCCCTAACTGCCACAGTGATCAAGTAGAACTGAAATTTGTTCTTTCCGACTAAAATCATGTGTTAAAAAAAAAAAAAAAAAAAAAAAAAAAAAATATATATATATATATATATATATATATATATATATATATATATATATATATATATATATTTCAGAGAGGAAGGGAAAGAGAGAGAGGCATAGAAACATCAAAGATGAGAGAGAATCATAATTGGCTGTCTCCGACATGCTCCACAATGGGGATCAAGCCCACAACCTGGGCATGTGCCCTGACTAGGAATTGAACTATATGACCTTTTGGTTCATAGGTTGATGCTCAACCACTGAGCCATGCTGGCCGGGCTGAAATCCTGTATTTTCTAATTGAGAAGATCGTGCTTCCTAGAAAAGTATCACACACCTTTTAAACTATTGCTTTATACAGATTATTGCATAGCCTTGAATTAGAAATCAGGTTGTTTCTATACTTCAAATTTGTGTATTTTATGTAAGTCTTATTTGAAAAGAAATTGGGGGAAAATATTGTGAACTCCAATTAAGGAAATGTTTAGGGATATTGATGTCTTTAACTTTCACTGAAAAACACAAAAAATGAGATGGGAATGGGTATGAGATAAAAAAAATGTAATGGAGCCGGGACCGATTTGGCTCAATGGATAGAGCGTTGGCTTGGGGACTGAAGGGTCCTGGGTTCGATTCTGGTCAAGGGCATGTACCTTGGTTGCGGGCATATCCCCAGTAGGGGGTGTGCAGGAGGCGGCTGATCGATGACTCTCTCTCATTGATGTTTCTAACTATCTCTCTCCCATCCTTTCTGTATAAAAAAATCAATAAAATATATTTAAAAAAATGTAATAGAGTTAAAGTTTAAATTTAGATGGTATTTACTGTACAACGATTTAATCTTTTTTGTATGTTTGATAATTTTCATAATCAAAATGGGAGAAAGTGAAATTGTAAACCCACTGGGAGAAAACTGAGTGGTCTCTGGTGCATTACTGACTTATCATTGAATTGTACTTCCTGAGCAGCTGCCGTAAATACAGAGGGGTATAAAAAACAGCCAACTAGAGAGTGTCCCTGCCCAAGAGCTTCTGGTTATAAACAGGACGAAGATTCTCATGTCTGATTGGCCTCTTTTCTTTTTCAGGGTTATACATAAATTTCCGTCACCTTTATAAACAGCGCAGGCGACACTATGGACAAAAAAAGAAAAAGATCCACTGAAAAGAGATTTAGATGACTTCTTACCATGTAGACTTTTGAGCCTAATCTATAATTCTTACAGTTTTACCTTCTTATACTGATGTAAAAGCTTTTTTAAAGTTAAATGATTAAATTCTCAGTAAGGCTATCTTCCCTTTTCCTGTTACATCCTGAATTTATTGTATTATCTTAGTGTACTACTTGCATGCTATCTGATGACAGGTTTGTTCTTTTGTAATCTGTTGGTGACATCAGACTCAGCCCTGTCCCCACCCACTCCATGTCCAGTCAGTCTGTTTCACACAAGCCAGAGATTTCATCAGTGCCCTGAACTCACTAGGCACTGGCCTTTCTTACAGCTGGAATGTATTCTTTTCAGCTATTGATTGTGGAAGAAAAACAAGACTGTTTTGTTTTATTGGGGGCTGTGAAAGTGACTTAGGCAGGACCTAATATATTCTGTACCCAAAAGGTTACTTAATAAGTGGAGTGGCATTGATTTTTTAAAAATCTGTTTGGCTCAGTCACTGAAAAACATTTGAGTCCAAGTGGCCTCAGCATCCACATTACCTCTGAAATTTTTGGCCTCTCTAACGATATGCTACTATACAGTGCTTACCTGTGTGGACACAGAATGATTGGGGAGAAACCAATCAGAACCTTGGAACACCATGATCACTTACTTCATTCCAAGATAAATCAGAACTATTTTCAACTTTAAAGATGAAACACTAGTTAGAAAATAATGAGATTATAAGAGTTCCAACACCAAAAGGTTAAAGGGGTCAGAAGGGTCAGACTGGCCACAGACAGCTGCCTGCAATGCAGCCTGTAGCGAACTGGAAACACTAGAGTAGGCCAGTCTAAACACCTGCAAAACTGCCTTAGGCTGTGCACAAACAAAAAACTCAAGCTGCTTCGCCCCTGCTGGGTAAGTCCATTTGTGTACCCGTCAGAGGTCGTGGTGGGGTGTCTGTTTAGTAGACCTCAAAACACCCGCTTTTATTCTGCTGTTTCACTTCTGAAGTTGGACAGTGAGCAGAGAACACTGGCTAGAGAACCACCAGCTGGTCCATTAACACAGGTTCCTGGCAGGAAACCCACCAAGAGAAATGAAAAAACCTAGGCATTATGAAGTTTGGCCATTGTCAAAAACATCAATTTCTTTCACATTCCAAGCAAAATGTGTTAGAAGTAATGCTTGTAGGGAAGAATTTAAGGCACGATTGTGCCATTCCCATTGTCCCGGGGAAAAAGGGACTAAATGAGCTATGCTGTTTCTCTGAGCCCAAGGCGGAAACTTGGTTTGACCTAAATCATATGATTAGCAGACTGGCTGATTTTTTTTACAAGGTCATTGCACTGAAGGATATTTTGCATGTTTGTATCTTCTGTCAGTACTTGTTTGTATTAATTTCTGATATTCTTTCCCCTGAGTTTCTGTGTGTAATTAGGCAGATCAGCTTCGCAGCAGATTATGCTGCATCTGTGGCAAATCTTACATTCTTAACAAGCCTTTGTGTTACTGTCTGTCTGAGAGAGCAAAAGATTGTGTATTTCTATTAAACATTTACAGTCAAAATCATAACTTGTGTTTAAAGATCACTTATTTACTCTAATGGTCTTCAAATTGTTAGTGATAGTCCTTTATCCAGACAAAATATTGCTAAACCAAAAGTGGATGCTAAGGTTGAAGTGTAGGAAGTAATACGTTAGGCCAGTGGTCGCCAACCTTTTGGACCTCATGGACCACCGATTGGTGACCGTTGCTTTAGGCGGCCCACAGAGCAATCTGAAAAGCACTGATAATATAAATAAAACCTAGAGAAGATACAGGACTTGCCCAATGACACGAAGCTAAGGGATGAATTAGAAGGGGAGCAGACTGCAGTGACCTGTCAGAATACCTGAATGGAACTTGGCGTAGGCAATGAGACCTAACAGGTATCAGAAACAAGGAAGTCAGTATGGAACACAAGGAACCCTCATGATTTATGAATCTGCCACATAGAAAGCTGAACTTATATCCACATAGAACAGACCAAAAGACAAAGACTAATTTACCAGTGAAACCTTTTATAGAAAATCAAATACTTTTTCATTAAAAAACAAACCTTGAATGGGAATAATTTTATACATTTATGATTTCTATTTAAAAGTCTGTATCTCAAGACATACCAAAAGCACCTAAGTGAAAAAGTTTTGCCCAAGTCCTAAGAAAGGTTCCGAAACTTAGTGGTGCAGGGCTTGTCCTTAGCTTGACCCAGACAGTCTGGGTTGCTTAATCCAAGGGCAGAATCTTGAAAATGTTCTTAGGACTGAGAGGAGAGAAGATGCCTTTCAGAAAGCCAGAGACCCCTGTGGGTCAGGTTTCCTGAGGAAGGGGGAGAGCTCTGTACCCATCACACCTTCAAGTTTCTCAGATGTACCCATCAGGTATCTTGGGCTGAAAGACTGAGCCTAGAAAGCGAAGGTCAAAGCCCTTAGACCGTTGGAGTCATTCAAACCAGCAAGTGGTGCTTCTGAGGCAGCCTCCGGTGGCTGCTGCAGAGGTGGACACTGGAGAAGGTTTCACCCTAAATCATTCGGACTTAAATGAAAAAGAAGAAAGGCCCCCAAAGTCAGCTTTACATTCGCTCAGTGCTGCTCCCAGAAAAGTCCGTCTGCAAAGGTGTGATGTTGTGGTCATAGCCAGCGTACTCGGAGGTGCCAGTACTGGCCAGCTTGAGCTGCTGGGCAGCGTGGGTCAGCTGGAACGCTGCGTCGGGGTGGGCTGTGTCGGGCAGCAGCGTGCACTCCCTTTCCAGCATGTCGGCCACCCCTTTGAGCAGGTCCAGGAAACCAAAGGCCAGGGCAGCCTTTCGTAAACGGTTCAGTTCCTGTAATAAGACAAAAAAAGTGAATGTTCCTAAAATGCAATTTCCTTATCATATACTTAAAAAACCCCACCAACTTTCCTTTTATTCTCACCTGAGGATACTTTTTCCATTGACTTTTAGAGAGTGAAAGTGATTGGAGGGAGGGAAAGGCAGTTAGAAACATCCATGCGAGAGGGACACATCGACTGGTTGCCTCCTACATGCACCCTACCAGGTGGGGATTGAATCTGCAACTGAGGTACATGCCCGTGACCGGGAATTAAACCCGATATCCTTCAGTCTGAGAACCGATGCTCCAACCACTGAGCAAAACTTTCTGGCTAAAAGCAGGTTTTTTATTCAAAGGTATAACTGGATAAGCAGATTTAAAACCATTCATGTGAAATTCTTTTTAAGAAAATATAATCACCTTATCTGCAAATATCATACACATACCTCAACTATGATGACCTAATTTTTGGTGAATAATATACATAATTAGGCAGAAATTATGTACACTGGTAGACTATTAAATTCTCAAAGCTCCACTTTAAAAATATTAATATTTTTACTGATTTCAGAGAGGAAGAGAGACATCAACAATGAGTGAGAATCATTGTTCAGCTGCCTCCTGCACCCTCCTTATTGGGGATTGAGCCCACAACCTGAGTATGTGCCCTGACTAGGAATCAAACCATGACCTCCTGGTTAATATAATAGGTGGATGCTCAAACACTGAGCCACACTGGTCTGGCCTCACTTCTTCCTTTTTTTTTTTTTTAATATATTTTATTGATTTTTTACAGAGAGAAAGAGAGGGATAGAGAGTTAGAAACATCCATGAGAGAGAAACATCGATCAGCTGCCTCCTGCACACCCCCCACTGGGGATGTGCCCACAACCTAGGTACATGCCCTTGACTGGAATCGAACCTGAGTCCCTTCAGTCTGCAGACTGACGCTCTATCCACTGAGCCAAACCAGTTTCGGCTGGCCCCACTTCTTGACAGATTTCTATTCCCACTTCACCTTCTTCCATCTTGTTGACTTCCTGACTGACTCCCCTGCCTATTCTGTCTACCTGACCGAGACAGTCCAGCCATTTCTCTGTCTGGAACGGTCACAGACTTCCTAAGTGCTTAGCTTAGTAGAAGTTCTCAGTGACCCCCAACCTTAAGTGAGCATCTCTATCTCTATATATAAAAGGTTAATAGGCAAAGTGTCCCCTCAGGAGTTCGACTAGGAGTGCAATTGCTCACAATGGCGTGCGCTGACCACCAGTAGGTGGTGTGGAAAGAAGGAAGGCCCCAGCAGGCAACTGGGGGAGGGAGGCCCTGCCAGCAGCCAGAAGGCCCCCATCAGCCCTGATTGCCAGTCAGGCCTAGGGACCTATAATGAGAGTGGGATGACATAACCGAGAAGCAGTTCCTCTAAGGTAGGGGTGTCGAACTCAATCAGAGAAGGGGCCAAAATCTAAAATCCAGCCTAGCGTTGGTGGTATAGTGGTGAGCATAGCTGCCTTCTAAAATCTAGCCTAAATCGCAGGCCGAATGGTTTACTGAACAGTCATAAACTGTCATTGTGATGGAAACGCAGCGGAGTGCAGTGATGACAGTGCGGTGCGGGCCACATTGCAAGGCCTGGCGGGACGGATTTGGCCCGTGGGCCTTGTGTTTGACACATGTGCTCTAAGGTGATGAGAAAGCTGGGTAAGAAAGACACTGACTGAAACAAGTTATCACCACACAGTTAATGAGCACTCATGCAAATGTAGTGAGGCACTTTGCATACATCATTTTATTTACTCATAACTCTAAGGTTTCCTGTTACTCAGGAATGGAAAAGGCTTGTCCCAAACCTCAGAGGGCTCTTAGCCTCTCCCACTGAATGACAATGAACACAGAAGTCAGAGGCCTGTCCCACAGGACAGCCACAGAAAGAAAGGTGGATCCAGGCTGGTGTGATTCAGTTGGGTGGGCATTGACTCATGCACCGAAAGGTTGCCAGTTTGATTCCTGGTCAGGGCACATGCCTAGGTTTGGGCCTTGATCCCCGGTGTGGAGTGTGCAGGAGGCAGTCAATAGATACTTCTTTCTCACATCGATGTCTCTCTCTCTCTCTTTCTCTCTCTCTCTTAAAAAAAAAAAAGTGGGGTAGTGAATGGAAGCAGAGAAATAGGAAGTGCCCCATCGACCACTCAGCACACGTAGCAGTGTGATCTGGGCAATGTGTACAGCCTCTCTGGGTCTCAGTGGCCTCATTTACAAAATGAGAAGGATAACCTCTTCCCTGCCCACTGCGGGGACCGAAGCAATTGCCTGGTAGAGGCCCTTTCCAGCTCTGATATGTGGGATTATATAAATCCAGAAAAGAGAAATGGGCTTTCTGACCACTTCTCTGTTAAATAAATGAAAAGTTCAAAAGGCCAAAGTACAAGTGTGTCGTCTCGAACAGAAGCGGATGACTGTGTGTAGAAAGCTCTGCAGGGAGGACCACAGCCAGAATGGTCACCAGGGGCTGTGTGAGCTGGCTTTCAGTTCGGGGGGCGTGGCAGGCTGGCCAGCTCTCTGGGGTTGAACTCTGATTAAGGTTGTTCTTGCTTAATTTCGCCAGCTCACTACATAATTAGGTTTGAAGACAACAGTGACATAAAGGTAATGAAATAACAGCCAGACAAAGTAGCATGTATGTTCTCTGGAACAAATGCTAGCCTAGGGCTGTATGTGTGTCCCCATTTTAAACTTAGCAAACCAGGATACAACTGACATCAGCATACCTCACGCTGCTACTTAATTTGATTTCAGCCAAACACCAGAGGACAGGAGAGAAATGAAGGAGTTTAAAGGCTCCAACTCCACCTCACCCCTTGTGACTTTATTCCTCCCACCAACGGATCTGGATTAGCGAGGTATGATTGCTGAAGGTTCTCCTTTTGCACTTCATAAATGTGCAATTTTAGAAGTCAATCCTGGAAGCAGCTTCTCTGGGACAGGAAGAATGTCCTGGGCAATCACCATCCCAGGAAGTCAATGGGAGCCTGGGGTTAGGCTGGATACCCACATGGGAATGAAGACAGTTAAGGGCTATGAGGGTTGAGATCCTTTCCACTCCTTCCTTCAGCCAGTCATAGCAGCACCAACACAGAGAAGCCCTCCTGCACAGAACCAGGCCATCTAAGCACTTCCAATTCTTGGATTTTAGGGCAAAAATGGACCTATCACTTCTACTGACTTCACTGATGAAAAAACTGAAGCACAAGCCATAAAGTATTTCTAACACCTGTCCATGTTCACTCCATGACCCCACACTAACTATGGGAAACATTTATTTCTGGCACCCATCCCAGGGCTCACCCTCTTCCACTGCAATTCTGATGGTCTCACCTTATAGAATGTCTGCGTTTTTTCAGGTAATTTCCTTGCATTTCTTAAAATCTTCTGTACATCTGTCTATCAAGGATAAAACAAATTTAACATTAGATTTCTGTGGTAAAGGGGAAAGAATTCAAAAGGATGGCTCTAAATGTTTAAAGAAATGAAAATACAAATAGAGCTACAGTGTCAAAATGAGAATCCCTTCTGAATTTATGTCTCTAATGTCACTGTTCTGTTCAATATTAGTACGGCACCTCCCTCCTGCAAAGTGCTTGATAATAAATCCCTTGGTGACAGAAATTAACTTGTCTCACAAAAACATACCAAGTAATTATATATATGGCCAGCTGCTTTTTTGACAAGGTTGCTGAGACCATTTAATGGGGTAAGAATAGTTTCTTCAACAAATGATGCTAGAATAACTAGATAGACGCACAGAAAAGAATGAAGTTGGTTTTAGAACAACTAGACAGACATTTAGAAAATAATGAAGTTGGACCCTTCACACCAAAAAAATAAAAATGTATCAGAGACCTAACGCAAGAACTAAAATTCTTTTAAAAATATATATATTTTATTGATATTTTACAAAGAGGAAGGGAGAGGGATAGAGTCAGAAACATCGATGGGAGAGAAACATCTATCAGCTGCCTCTTGCACACCTTCTATTGGGATGTGCCAGAAACCAAGGTACATGCCCTTGACCGGAATCGAACCTGGGACCCTTCAGTCCGTAGGCCGATGGTCTATCCACTGAGCTAAACCGGTCTGGGCAGGAGCTAAAATTCTTACATGTCAGACTCTTAAAAAGAAAACATAGGGCAAATCTTCATGACTTTAGATTTAAAAATATATATATAAATTTTATTAATTTTTTTTACAGAGAGGAAGGGAGAGGGATAGAGTCAGAAACATTGATTAGCTGCCTTCTGCACACCTCCCACTGGGGATGTACCTGCAACCAAGGTACATGCCCTTGACTGGAATCAAACCTGGGACCCTTCAGTTTATAGGTCGATGCTCTATCCACTGAGCCAAAGCGGTCAGGGCATAACCTTGGATTTGGCTATGATTTTTAGTTACAACAGTATAGCACCTTAAGAAAAAAATGAATTGGATGAATTTTCATAGCAGCATTATTCCAAATAGCAAAAAGATAGAAACAATCCAAATGCCATCAACTGAATGAATGGATAAACAAAATGTGGCCTGGTTACACAATGGGTTATTCAACCACCAAAGGGAAAAGTACTGATGTATGAATGAACATTGACATTGTGCTTAGTGGAAGGAAACCAAACCAAAAAGGCCACATGTTATATGACTCCATTTATATGAAATACCCAGAATAGGCAAATCCAAAGAGACAGAAAGCAGATTATTGGTTGCCAAGGACTGGGGGAAGATGGGAAAATAGAGTGACTTGTTTAATGGGTACAGGTTTTCCTTTTGGGGTGATAAAATATGCTAGAACGAGATAGTAGTAGTAGTTGAATAACACTGTAATTATACAAAATGCCACTGAATTTTGTATATTTAAAAGTGGTTGAAATGGTAAATATTGTGTGTATATTTAAATGAATGGTATATTTAAAAGTGGTTGAAATGGTAAATGTTATGTGTATTTCATCGCAATAAAAAAATACACCTAGTCTAAAATAAAAATTTTAAAATAAGTTTAGAAAAATTAGGGGGGGGGAAACCAGCTATCTTTCCAATAGGGAAGTGCTCAGGTCAGAGGTTGATAGGAAAGAGGGAAAACCTGATTTTCCAACAAAGAGAAGAGACCTCCCTTCCCTTAGCCATGGCAGGATGTGTGCAGTCTCCGTGAAAAGGGGGCCTATGTCATCAACAGAAGCCACTTCTGTTGTCAGGTGACCTGACTACCTCTTCTCTTCCGGCTTAAGCTGGATTCATTGCAGGAACAAAGGAAAAAAAGGCACTTAAGTGAGAACAAAGGCTCAAAAGTGATTTTAAAAAATAGGAACAAAGGACTTTTGCGGAGAAGAGATGTCACTCAGTACCTTGCCTGAAAGTAGCATATCTTGGTAATAATCTACTCACAGCTTTCCATGAAAGTGTTTCTGTGAAATTACAGTGTAATGCTATGGTTCGGGCTCTACTGTGGGGATGGAAAAAATAACCACATGAAGATTTTCACATCTTTCTCAAAATTGTTGTTAAAGATAACACCCATTATATTATTCAATTTCTCAGCATGTCCAAAACTTCACATTAAAATTCAATGCCAGGGAAATGTGTCTTTAGAAAAACTGACAAACTTCCTTTAATCAGACATACAACCCTATATAACATAAACCCTACTTGTTTCTTTTTTGACTTTGGTAGCTCAGAGCCAAATTGTTCAAAACAATTATTTTGCCTTGAGTTCCTGGAACAATTGTCTGCCCTCTTCCTCTAGGTTTTGTATTGCTCTAAATTTTGTAAAAATTGATTTTGCTGTATACTCTTTTTACCGTAGGCCACCTCAAATCCTTTTTGGAAATAATGACAAACATTAGAAGTAAGTGAATTAGTAAGTATCAAAGGGAAGGAAAATCAGATCAAATGTCTGCCTGCCTGCCAGAATCCCTCCTCCTTGTCCCCAGTGGAAAGCAATGTGAATGGTAATATTACCTGCAGGCCACTGGGTTTGATCCAGACAGTCACATTCTGGGCATAACTGCGTTTGTTTTTAGGCTGCAGGGGGAATGGGCTCTTATTGTCATCCTCACCATAAGGGTTTTCTTTAGCATCTTAAAAGAAAAAGACATTCTTGAAATGAGATCTGGCAGAGCACAATCAATTACATTTCTAATTAGGCTAGAAGCTCTTTGAAATCATTCAATCTTCTATATATCCTGTTACTTCCCTAATTAAGAAAATCCATTAACTTCAGTCAGGTTGGGGATCTTGTTCTCAATAAAACGCCACTGATGTAAGAGACCAAACAATCAACTAAGGCCCATGTAAGTGAAATACAGCTTGATATTTTAAAAAAAACAAGCTTTACTTATTATTTGCTTTATGAATTAAACTCAGCGAAGTTAAAACAAAAACATACAATAATTCTAACGTACTATTTTAAAAAATAAGTATACAAATGGAAAGTCTGTATAGCTTAGTCTAGCATTTTCCAATAGAACTTTCTGCAATGACAGAATGACAGCCACTAGCCCATGTGGCTATTGGACACTTGCATAGCTAGTCTGACTGAGGTTCTGAATTTTAAATTTTGTTTAATTAAATAACCTGTGGCTAGTGGCTACTGGATTAGACAGCATAGTGATTATATAGCCGGATTAAGAAAAGAAGTAGCCGAAGCCGGTTTGGCTCAGCGGTAGAGCGTGGGTCTGCGGACTGAAAGGTCCCAGGTTCAATTCTGGTCAAGGGCATGTACATTGGTTGCGGGCACATCCCCGGTAGGGGGTGTGCAAGAGGCAGCTGGTCGACGTTTCTCTCTCATCGACGTTTCTGGCTCTCTCTCTCTCTCCCTTCCTCTCTGTAAAAAAATCAATAAAATATATTTTAAAAAAAGAAAAAAGAAAAAAAAAAAAAAGAAGTACTTTTTGGTGAACATATCCCACCTTATTTATGGTTTATTAGTTTATTGCTTCCAAAGGATTAAAGCCATATTGGTTTTATAGCTATGTGAATAAACAAGGGTTCTTGTTTTTCTACCTGCTTCCTGAGCCAATGAAACTGCCACAAACTTACAGGGCATTCCTACATCTACTGGCTTGTCATTATTGTTACCACCTTCTGGGAATCATTTTCCCAACCAGGCAGGGAGCTTAAATCCTTTCACATTATGTGTCTACTATGGCAGAAACTTTATACTTATTCCCCTCAATAAATTCTCTCAACAAACCTCTAAGGTAGGTTTTATTATTAATTATTACTTGTTACATAATGACAATCTCAACCTCATAAGACTATTATTATGAGAATTAAATGAGATTATACATTTCATTGTGCCTAGCTCAGGGCCAGGCACAGAGTTAAGTTCAATAAAAATGTTAGCTCTTACATATACTCAAACTATAATCACCTAAAAGTATGCATGTATGATGTATGTATATGTATATAGAGAAAGAAAGAGGAAAAAAAAGGCGAGAGGAAGGGAGAAAGAGAGAGAGAATTTCTGAAGGTAAGGTTCTTCAAAAACCGCTTAAGATGATAATCATGTATGTCAGGTGCCTATTGGAGGGAATCTTTCATACCTATTATAAAATTGTCACATGATATACTATTGGTTACTATGGGTGTTGCCCAAAGTCAAAATAAACATTTCATTGAAATATTTTCAACTCCAGACAAATACTAATGTGTATGCTGAAGAAATTAGTTTTCCTTACACAAATGAACTGATATATGTATTTAAAACACCGGAAGCAGAACTTTTTAACAGAGTGCCTGAGGGAAAAAAGTCTCAGAAACATTTTTTAAAAAGCACTTGCTAAAGCAAATGAAAAATCTAATTTTTAAATTAGGCATTTAAGATAAAAATGACTTTAGAGAAAGAAGTACCATTTCCTAAGATACCATTTCTTTCCACTGCTTTGCAAAATTGAGCTTCTGCTTTGGCCAGTGTTGCTCAGTGGCTGGAATGATGGCCCAAGTACTTAAGGCTCATAGGTTCAATTCCTGGTCAAGGACACGTACCTGGGTTGCAGGTTTGATCCCCACACCAGTCAGAGTGCATGTGGGTGGTGGGTGGGGTGGCAACCAGTTGATGTATCTCTCTCACATCGATGTTTCTCTCTCCGTTCCTCCCTTCCACTTGGAAAAGCAATGGAAAAAATATCCTCAAGTAAGTATTAACCAATAATATAAAATAAAATAAAATAAAATAAAATAAAATCTATCTTCTTTGCAGATAAGCTGCAAAGAATATCTACATAAAAACAGCTGGTGTGGCTCAGTGGTTGAGCATCTACCTATGAACCCGGAGGTCATGGTTCAATTTTCAGTCAGGGCACATGCCAGAATTGCAGGTTTGATCCTCAGTAAGGGGTGTACAAAGAGGCAGCCAATCAAATATTCTCTCATATCATTGATGTTTTTTTCTCTCTTTCCCTCTCCCTTCCTCTCTGAAATCAATATATATATTTTAAACAAACATATGAAAGAAAAATAATTTAAGTTGTTTTAGCAAGAATTCTGATTTTTTTCCAAGAAAGAGCCAGATAGTAGTATTCTTAATAAGATAGCAGATTCACAGTCTTTAAAAATAAGTAATTGCAAAGTAACACATATTTTTTGACCCAAGCCATTATGCTCAATTATTATTTGACAAAGGAGGCAAGAGCATACAATGGATTCAAGATAGTCTCTTCAGTAAATGGTGCTGGGAAATTTGGTCAGCAAAAAAAAAAAAAAAAAAAAAAAAAAAAAAAAAAAAAGAAACTAGATCACTAACTTACACCATACACAAAAACAAACTCAAAATGGATAAAGGACTTAAATGTAAGACAGGAAACCATAAAAATCCTACAAGACTCCATAGGCAGCAAAATAGCAGACATATGTCATAGCAATAACTTTACTGACACAGCTCCTAGGCAATGGAAACTAAGGGGAAAATAAACAAGTGGGACTACATCAAGATAGAGCTTCTGCACAGCAAAAGAAACCGTCAACAAAACAACAAGAAAGCCCACTGCATGGGAGAACTATTTGCCAGTGCTATTTCAGATAAGGATTAATCTTTAATCAAAATTTACAGAGAACTCATACAACTTAACAAAAGAAAGATAAACATCCCAATCAAAAAAATGGGCAATGGACCTAAGTAGGCACTTTTCAAAAGAGGACATAACAGAAGGCCAAGAGACATATGAAAACATGCTCAAAGTCACTAATCATCTGAGAGATACAAATCAAAACAACAATGAGGTACCATCTCATACCTGTCAGAATGGCTATTATCAACAAATGACAAGTGTTGGTGAGGATGCAGAGAAAAAGGATCCCTCATGCACTGCTGGTGGGAATGCAGACTGGTACAGTCACTGTGGAAATCAGTATGGAGTTTCCTTAAAAATTTAGAAATGGACTTCCATTTGACCCAGGAACCCCCACTTCTAGGACTATATCCCAAGAAACTAGAAACACCAATCAGAAAGGATATATGTACCCCTATGTTCATAACAGCACAATTTACAATAGCCAAGATTTGGAAATAGCCTAAGTGCCCATTAGCAAATGAGTGGATGAAAAAACTGTGGTACATCTACACAATGGAATACTATGCCACTATAAAAAAGAATGAACTTTTACCATTTGCAACATCATGGATGGGACTGGAGAGCATTATTCTAAGTGAAATAAGCTAGTAGGAGAAAGATAAATATCACATGATCTCACTCATATGTGGGATATAATGATCAACACAATTTGATGAACAAAAATAGATCCAGAGACAAATGGCAGGGGAGGTAGGGAGGTTAGAGAGCAACCAAAGGACTTGTATGCATGCACATTAGCATAACCAACGGACACAGACACTGGGGTGGTGGAGGCTTGCCCAGGGTGGGAATGGTGGGGGGAGGGAAGATCAATTGGGGAAAAGAAGACATACATAAAACTTTAGACAATAAAAAACAAAACAAAAAAAACACACCACCACATTTGTATGCATGATATTTGGATGTGTATATGAAACCAGTATTGTACCTAGCGATCACTGCTATTCTAACTGAAGTTAACCAGAAACCAAACCAAGGGAAAGCTTCAGGTATAACTCACAAGGCAACACTTCTAATAAACCTTTTAAATTAAAACAAAACAAACCAAAAAACAAAACAGACCCAGAGGGAGGAAAATAATAACTTGAGTAAACACCAGTCCAATCTGAATGAAGAATGCATGTAACAAGCCAAGCACTGTTAGGTTGGAAGCCAGATCAGAAAGAAATGTGAATGCTACTGTCTTAGACTATGGACAGGCATCTGTGGTGAAAACTATCACAATAGTCTAGGTCAGGGGTGAGCAATCTTTTTCCGTAAAGGGCCAGACTATAAATATTTTAGGCTTTGTGGATGATATGGTCTCTTTATAACTACTTTACTCTGCCACTGGAGCAGGAGAGCAGCCATAGACAATACGAAAGGAATGAGTGTGCCTGTGTAATAAAACTTTACTTATAAAACAGGCAGTGGGCTAATTTGACCTCCATGCCATATTAGCTGACCTCTGACCTAAGGGAAGGGTAAAGAAAGCCAGAACAAGGCAAGAGCAGTGAGAATGAAAGGCAGAATGAACATAAGGATGCTAGAGAGAATAGATGGTGAGGAATCGTTAAACACACACACACACTGCTTCTGCCTTTGTGTTCTCCTCCAACTCTTGGTGGCCAGACTTGTCATCTTCATTTCCTCATATCTAATTCATCCTCAACCTATGTCCTGGCTAACTACTTACTGAAGCTACTTTTATCAAGCCACCAATCATTTCCTAACTGTCATGATCAAATGAATCCTGATTTATAGTGTCCTCTTCTTACCTCATGGTTTTTAGTCCTTCCTAAAACTCTTCAATCTTTAAAACACTCATTCCACAGTTTATTTCAGATTTAATTCTCAGGGTGCTAATCAATCACTCTGTTGGCCTTCCTTCAAAGGAGAAAAAAATCCTTTCATGATTTGGAAACTGTTTTCAAATTATGATCTCATCATATCAGGGATTTTTCTGTGGAAGTCCTTTTGCCCTGGGCTGTAGAGGTGTTCCTACAGAGTCACTGTATGAACTTCTGGAGGATGCACCGAGGGTTTCATTGCTTCAGAACCAGTTTTGTATGGTTTGGTTTTAGAAATCCCCATTTCAGAATGGGTAGTATCAGTCTGCATGGCACAGGACTTGAGTTTCAATTTCTCATAGAAGATTTAAAAATTTCTTTATATCTAGAAAAAGTAGATAGAAAAAAAAAATGGGTAGAATTCTTCTTGCCATCCTCTCACTGAGAGGGTATACCTTCCATATTCTTAGCTTTACTCACAGAACTCAATTCTGTTTTGTTTGGAACCAAAGTCATGTCTCCTGTCCCAGTGTGAGCTTTAAAACCCAGCCCCTGCATCCTAGCTCAAGAGCTGGCAAACCATGACCTGTTGCCTATTTTTGAGTTAAGGATGGTTTTTGTATTTTTAAATGCTGGGTAAAGAAATAAAAAGAATAATATTTCATGAAATATACATGAAAATTATATAAAATTCAAATTCTGGTATCCATAAGTAATACTTTTTGGAATACAGTCACTATCATTTATGCACATATGGTGCTACAAATGGCAGAGCTTAGTAATTATGACAGAGGCCATATGGTCTGCAAAGCCTAAAATGTTTACTATCTTGTTCTTTTTCTGAAAAAGTTTGCTGAATCTTGGCCTACCATCTGGGCCTATATTTAGTTAAAATCTTCTATAGGCTTCAATGGAAAAGGCATCCTTAGAGCTCAACTGACAAGCATGCACAGTGTATGAGACACTGTACTTCCTTCTTGTCTCTTTGTTCTCTTGGCTTCTGCAACATCACTTCTACTTTCCCTCTTTCATCTGCCTATTCCCTCTCATTTTCCTTTACTAGCACCCTTTCCACTGTCCCCAATGGTTGGCCCTTTCTAGCTCTCTTTTCTCCCTTAATCTGTATACGTTGCTAAGGCTGGAGCTTCTTAGAGCATAGATCACCTAGATTGTAATCATGGGGGTAATATTAAAACTGCAAGTTCCTGGGCCTGAATCCAGACCTACTGAATCAGAATCTCTGTATGTGAGAGCCCAGGAAACAGAATTTTTATACAGGTTCTCCAGGTTTATTTTTGTACATGAAAACTCAAATTTTGGACCTAAGTAATCCCCCTCATTCTCACCATTTAGCAATCAGTGATGTATTTGTGATGAAAAATTTTATTTCCAGCTCTGCCCTCTCTGCTAACTCTAGGTTCATATACGAGTTGTCTCTAGGCACCTCCATCTGAATCTCATAGACATAAACTCAACATGCACAAAAGATATTCTTACCAATCTACTCTTACTCCTGCTCTCTGTTTTAATTAATAGTACCACCTTTCACCCACAGCCAAGGTCAGAAACCTGGGATCATTTTTAATTCTTATCTTTCCTTTATTCTTTCTTATAAATACTAGTATGACTTGCCTGGATCCCATCCACTGTCCCCAGCCACTACCCTTTGTTCTGGCTCCACCTTCACATCTCCAGGACTATCACAGTCGACTTCTTACTGCAGATTGTCCTTACCTTTTCAAATCCACATTTCACAGTTATTTTTCTAAATGCAAATTTACTATCACTCACTTGGATTTCGGTCATATTGCACACAATACCAGGGGTCACTAGTACCTACAATACAAAGTTTTCTAACTGGTACCTCCACTCTTCTCATTATAGCCAGAGGATCTGATATATCACTCCCCTTTGGTGGCTTTCCAACATCAGCAGAATAAAGTTTCAGCTCTTCACATTTCAGATGAGGCCTGCCCTGCTCCAGCCACTGCCAACCTCTAACCTACCCTCTGGCCTTCCAAACCCCCCCTCCCCCTAAACAGTTTGTGCTTTCTTTTCTATAGGGGTTTCATTTGTCCAGGATGCCATTTCTTCCTTCACTGGCTCACCAAATTCCTCTGTCTTTCCCCTCTCCCCCAAAAGTTGGCCAGGGTCTTGTGAGATTTTCCTGAGTCCTCTAGGCAGAAGTGATCATCCTCTCCTGCAGGCCAACTCTGACCCTGTGTCAGCCTGTGTTTATTATTCAACTTTCCATGGACTTTGAGTAACTCTTTTTTTTATTTTTTTTATTTTTAATATATTTTACTAATTTTTTACAGAGAGGAAGAGAGAGCAGGACAGAGAGTTAGAAACATCGATGAGAGAGAATCATCGATCAGCCGCCTCTTGCACACTCCCCACTGGGGATGTGCCCGCAACCAAGGTATATGTCCTGACCGGAATTGAACCTGGGACCCTTCAGTCCGCAGGTCGGCGCTCTATCCGGTTTCTGCTTGAGTAACTCTTGCTAACTCTTTTATCCCCTAAGACTTAGCACAAAATAGGTTGCTTGGTAGATGTTCCTGAAGTGAAATGGGCCCAAATGAGATAAGGATGTCTATAGTTGGAACCTGTGTACCTAGAAGTACAAAGGTAAAAGGCCTCTATTAGAAAAAGTAGGAAAATCAGAAGAAGAAACAGTTCAAGATGGGAGGGGTGAGACAATGGTTTCTATAACAAACACATTGAGCTTGGGACTGTGGCAGAATATCCAGGTGGAGAAATCCAATGGAAAGTGGAAATACAATATGCAAATTCCAGGGAAAGATCAAGCAGGACTAGATTTATAGATTTGGGGGACTCTGAAGCTATAATGGCCAATTTAATAATCAGGCGAGTATATTAATGCAAGAGAAAAAGGCAAAAAACATCATGAGGCAAGAAGAAAAGATGCCAGAAAAAAAAAAAGTTGCTGAAGAAAAAGACTAAGTATAAGGAAAATGCAATGTTAGGAAAGCCAAGGAAAACAGTTCCAAGAAGGAAGGGGATTAAATTATCTAGGAATCACTGGGGATTATCTGGGTTGAAAATTACACTAAGGTAATTTTAGATGAAAGAAAAATGTTTATAGAGAGTTGAATTTTACTCTTAAGCATTTATAGCATTTATATGTAATTAAAACAACCTAAATGACAGTTTCCCCTGAGTTACAAAGTTAAAAAGTTCAAACATCAAACTCTCTTGGAGTTTTCCATTTACATATCCAGCATCAGAGACCACAGCACACCCATAGGGAGATCACGCAGCTCTCTGACTACAGTCAGAGCTATTCAGAATAGCAGAGAGGAAAACAAAGTCAAGATCAATAAAATCTGATCTACATTATACCTGAAATAGGACCCAACTGTCCCATTTTCCCTAGCCATGGGAGAGGTTCTGGGCCAGGCTCAAAGAGGGACATCATGAGGTTTGATTTCTTCTTGCTGTCAGCTTGGGAGTAGAGCATTCCATGCCATTCAGGACTAGGTGGAGAGAAGATGAAAAATCAGAAGAATATCAAGCCTGTGACTGTCAAGTTAAATAAGTCTAACCTGTGTTTTTCTCTTGAGTGGCATAAGCTTCAGCTTTGAAATCAGGTATATTACTTTTACTAAAGCCAAATCCTAAACCTGAAAATGCATACTGCTGCCCCCTAATATCACCATTCCTCTGGGACATGTATTTTTATTCAATTATTTAGATATGAACTCAAAAGCAGTTATTTGTTTATTTATTTTTAAGCCTCTCCTAAGGATATTTTTCCATTGATTTTTAGAGAGAGAGTGGAAGAGAGAAAGACGGAGAAATATCAATGTGAGAGAAATATATCGATTGGTTGCCTCCTGCATGTGCCCCGACCAGGGTCCCAGCCAGGGAAGAGCTTGCAACTGAGGTATGTGCCCTTGACTGGAATTGAACCTGGGACCCTTCAGTCAGCAGGTCAACACTCTATCCACTGAGCCAAACTGGCTAGGGCAAAGCAGTCTTAAAAGAGAAAACAATCACAAGGACAGGAGGCAGCTGCAGGCTTGGTGAGGAGTAAGGGCTGTGATCTATTGGTCTTTTCAGCTGCCTCCATGAGTCATTCACAGCAGCAATAACACAGAGAAGGCCTTGTAACAAAAGGCACAAAGCCATCACCCAGCTCTGCTCCCATTCACAAAGGACCCCAGGTGTTTCTCATTTTCAGAGCCAGCGCAAGTAAGTTTGGGTACCAAGAAATACAGCCAACCAATACCTAAAAAGAACTGCATGCTTTTTTTTTGTTCTAAATAATTTGAGCTCAAGCAGAAATGGAGCCATACTTCCTCTGATCTCATATCAGTCTATCCCAGGCAATGGCCACAAATGCTCAGTCACCTCTTCTTTCTAACAACAGATATTATAGAAAGGGAAGCAGGTAGCTTTGCAAATTTCAAGACTGCCATGAATATAGAAGTTATAAGGGCTTTCCTCTCAGGGGAGGAATACAGCAGAGTGGTTATAAGCCTGGACTCTGGAGTAAACATGCATAGGTAAGAATCCTTCCATTTACTAGCCATGTGACCTTGAGCAAGGTCCTTGACCTCTTATGCCTCAGTTTCTCATCTACAGAATGGGAATAATATCAATACCTCCTGTGTAGTGTTTGTGAGAGATTAAATATGTTAATGTATGTAAGGAGCATACAGGAGTGCTTGGCATATGGTAAATGTTCAATTAATTTTATCAGCATCTTTTTTCATTTAATTCTACCTCCTCATTTTGTAGCTGAGGAGTCTGTGAACACTGCATAATAGCAAGTTGGTAGATCCTAACAGCAAGTTGGTAGCCTTGTTATAACGGAATCTAGGTTCTCAGATAAAATAGAAGAAAACTTCTATAATCTAAAAGCATATCATTAAAAGGCTTTCTTACTTAATCTAGGGTTGGGGTGGGAAATGTCTGGCCCAAGGGCTGTGCAAGGCCCTCGAAATCATTTGGTCTGGCCCTGCCAAGGCTTGAGGAGTGAGTTAATGAAATGTTTGACCAAATATAGGCTAATTTTTAAGTTGATAATTTTGTATGGCTCTCGAATGATGTTATAAATATCCAAATGGCCCTTAGCAGAAAAAAGGTTCCCATCCCTGCTTTAGGGGATAATTAAACAATTTAGAAGGCGATGGTAGGTGGGGAGGGTATGGCACGGAGAGGAAAAAGGAGACAAGGACCTTTCTATTTTTTTCAGAAAAGTCTGGGAAATACTTCACTTTATTAATTGATTCTCCCTTCCAATCAACAAAAGGAAAACATTTCTTACCCTAGCTGAACTATTGCTACCATTCCTTCCACTTTTAGGCTGCCATGGAGCAGGACACAGAAGTTGGGAATTTTGCCTGCAATCTGATTAGCTGAATTTTCATCTTCATTATCATCAGTTATGCCAGTACCCACCTCGTCACCTTCTGTGAAAAGAAGAGGAAACAGGTCAGACTGAGATTTGCTACAAAAATCCCAAACCCCAATTATACTGTTGGCTATTTCTAGCCTTGGAAGGAAAGTAAATGGATTTGTAAAAGGAAAGCTCATATTCTGGTGTTCCTATGTCCATAAAAAAATCAGTTTTCACATGTTTTATGAATTCCATTTATATGAAACATCCAGAAGAGGCAACTCTATAGACAGAAAGGACACTATTGGTTACCGGAGGAAGATGAAGGGCTTAGGGGTTTTAAAATTCTGATTCTAAAATGAATTGTGGTGATGGTTGCACAATTCTGCAGCTATATTAAATGTACTGATTTGTATACTTTAAATGGGTGAAATGTATGGTATGTGAATTACATTTTAGTGAAACTGATACATGCAAAAATTAGCTTTCCACAACTTTTACTAGGATACTTAGCTAGGTGCTCTCTGGGAGTTTCAAGTACCTTCTAAACAGAACCACATAATCAGAGATAGTGAGAGCATTCTCAACTGATAGCCTTCAGGCAGCACATGGATGGGAGCCCCCCACAAGATGAAGAGTGTTACTTCATAAACTTCTTGATCTGACTCTCCAACACCAGGTTCTCTCATGCACTCTGCTGACAAATGAATCTTCCTACAATTAACTTCCCTTTGGAACTATCTGCCCACTCAATCTTATCAAAGACGTTTTAATTCAATAGGAAGAATTTGCCCAGTTTAGCTTGACATTCAAAAGCCCTTAAGACATGGCCCCATTCTGCCTTCCCACACTTTTCTTTCCACTGTTCCCCTACATAAACTCTTCATTTTGCCCACTTTGTTGGCAATTTATATGGACATGCAGAATCCCTGCCTCCTTTCCCGCCATCTCTAGACCTTAGAAGTAAGGAAAACTTGGTTATTAATATTAGTATCAAGAACAATAAGATAAATTACAAACAATAATCACTATAAGCCATCTTTGGGCACATTTCAAGATTCTGTCTGTGCATGTGTGATTGAGGGTTATAGAATACCCAATTTTACAACTGAGACAACCACCATCAACAGAATGTGATCATAACTCAGTGAGTAGAAACCTGACTGACTACATATGCTTCTTGGAGAAAGCTGATGAACATAACGTGGATGGTCAACCTAGAACAGAGAAAAGAAGTTTAAAGTGCTAGAGACTAACATTCTCCAGAGATGTTTAATTTGGGGGACATAACTTTACAGTTCTTGGAGAGCTTTATTTTGTAGGACTGGATTCTTCCATTTTATTCCATAGTATTTACATCTACTGAGCATCAATGGTAGAGCACAGGTGTAGTTTCTCTCCTTATGGAGCTGTATTTGACTCCGTATTTATCAGGCAACCTCTGAGAATCACTTTGGCTTCCTCGCCATCCTACCAGGAAAGGCAGAGCCTTGGATTAGGGACAAAGCATTCTCATTTCTAAAGAGGATCTCCACTGTAAATTAATAAAACAATACACAATAAATATGTGTCAATATGCTTTCCACAGTGTAAGGCTGCAGAGTTAGTTTTCTAGTAGAAGAGGCAATATTCCATTTTTTAAAAATTCAATCCAAACCAATAACTATTCCTTTCTCCAAAATTCTGCAAAATGGGTTACTCTATTATCTGACATTTAAGAATAATTTTAGACAATAAGATACTTCATTTGTATCACTGAACAGGAAGAGAACTCACCTTTGTTAAGTGCTATAGGTAGGACCAGATGTCTGGACAGAACTGGAGGACTGGAAATATCAGCTATATCAATAAATCCCACTATTTCCAAATCTGAAAAGGATAAGTCAACATAGAATTAATTAGTTCTATAGAAAAGTACACTATTTTCTATGTACTAGATTTCATAAACACAATATTTAGATATGGAATTCAAATATGATGAATAGAAAGGTTATTATAAGTCTTCTTATAATTCTGATATGAGGATGCTGCTACACCTTAGGCAGTGCATCCTCACTTCCAAAGTGTATAACTGATGATGACAGCATCCTCGTACCAGAATTTACATTTCTTTTCAACTATCTTGGATAGAGAGGAGTAAAAGTCAAAAGTTAGGAAAAAGTCAGGATAGCAGGAGAACTGAAAAGGACGTTTTAAAGAGTTACCTGTGTTAATGACTTTAGGGATAGGATCGATTTCCTCATCTACAACAAAAGGTTCTGGCCTGGGGAAGACTTGCACATCTGCCGTCAGGTGGCCACACTTGAGAACAGCATGGAAAGGCGTGTATGCCAGATCTATCAGTTTTCTAGAATATGATAATTAATTATTATAGGAAGCATGAGATGATACCTATAATTTTTTTCAAAATGCTAAGCTGTTTTCCCTTTGAGTTGACTCCAAAACGATGTGACTATTTTGAAACAGAACAAAACCTGACATTTTTGGTGAAGCAATTTCAATTCTGAAAAGTCCTAAGGACTGTTGATCTTTGAAATTGTTAAGTCTTTGTAAGGAAGTCAATATAGATTTAGTCATGTTTAATTCAAAAGGGAATAAACTTTTAAAAATCACTCCTACCAAGCATTTTATCTGAAAAATGTGAAACTTGGGGGAATTGAAATGACACAATTAGAAGTGAAAAAATACATATTATTGCTGCATATATCAAATTATAATGATAATAAGGCAAAAAAAGCTCTAAGTACATACTCACCCAAACATAGACTGAACATTTTTCAAGCATAGGGGGCCATCAATAGTAAAAATCTGCCCTTCGCCATTATTTAAATCTATGAGACGTTCAAGGCAATCCAAGGAGTCAGTGCTCTGAAGCTACAAAGCAAAACAGCTGAGTTGTTTAAAGTAGCACAAAATGCCAGATTATTAACAGCATTCAGTTTATACCCATCACAGTAACACAAGCAACAAATATAATGGAGATTAGTTTGAGGCAGAAGAGTAAGATGCTAGAGAAATTCCTTGGCAAGTAGAATATGGAAAACTGAGACAATATAATTAAGCAAGACCAAAAAATCTGAGCAACTTACAGCTAGCTAATGAATCACAAGGCTTTATCTTTCCTTACCAAGGACACTAAGGAGCAAATAGTTTACACATTACAGACTGTCCTGGGACAGAATGGCCTTGGTCAGGTCCCTCTTCAATGACGTTCTTGATGACATTTAAAAAAATGAAATGAACCAGAAAATAACCCCTAACTCCTCTTTATGCTCATTTTGATGAATCAATTAATTGAAGGGCACACCTGAGAAGCTAATGAATATTCTGTTAAGACCTTCCCCTGCGACCTTACCTAATGCAGGGAGGAGGAGGCAACCAGACACTGTCTGGTAACAATTTAACAATGTGAACAGAAAAACAGCTATAACAAATTGATTCAAAGTTACCAAAGAGGAAGTGTCATATAAAAAATGATACAGTAGAGCTATTTCATTCAGATGTAGTTTTGCAAAGATTCTCAAAGATGACCATGGTTGGTATTGACATAGTATCTTTCCTCCTAAGTATTTCTAACTCTTTGGTAAGTACCATTATCATCTACATTTTACAGATAAAAAACTGAGATGGAAATAGCTTTCCTGATGAAAATAGTATAACCAGAAAATAGAGTTTAATAAAATATACATTTACAAAAAAAATTAAAGCACACTTCTGTCAATATTTCTGGCGGCATGGACTTAAGAATTCCTAAATGATGGAAATATCCAACACTTAAAAGAATATTTCAGCATCTGAAGAATCTTGATGGGCAGTAGGATGGATAACAACTCTAACTATATTTTCTAAAATGGGGCAGTGCTTTCAACTTTCAAAAAGCATTTGAATTCTAGGGTCTTTTCAAAGATAACTGATCAGCCTCAGCTGAAACCAGTGAAGTTCAATGTGATCTGCAATATAATACTAAGGGGGTATACACACTAAAAAATAAACCTTTGTCCTAAACTACCGTATTTTTCGGACCATAAGACGCACTTTTTTCCCCCCAGAAGTGGGGGAAAAAGTCCCTGCGTCTTATGGTCCAAATATAGCCTACATATATACTTTATGCAGAAGTGGGGGGAAAAAGTCCCTGCGTCTTATGGTCCAAATATAGCCTACATATATACTTTAAAAAAAAAGTTTTTTTACTTGCCCGGCTCTGTGTGTTCTCTGTGTGCTTGCCCGACTCTAAAATGGTTCTAAATGCTGCTGTTTACTTTACAGGGTTGATTACATGTGTTTATGACTGTGATGTTGGGTTTTAATGCACATAAAATATTTTAGGACACTATTTGTTTCAGAATCTTTTTTTCTTCATTTCCCTTCTCTAAAAACTGGTGCATCTTATGGTCCGGAGCGTCTTATGGTCCGAAAAATACGGTATATCTAATCAAATTGGAAAGAACTTAGTAAAAAGCATTACCTCCTCTAAATTTGCCATACACATGATGTATAACTTAGATGGGAAGGGGAAAGGTAGTGGGAACCTGTTGCTCTCACTTCGTTGATTGTGTGTAGCTAGGGAATGCCGCAGCGAGCCTCTACCAATGCCAAGACAGCCATCTGTCACCAGAACAACCTGTTTGCAAAAAGTGAGAGGTTTATATATATAAAATAACATACTCATTTAAAGCAGCCACATTTAGTAATTTCATTTCTCCCTAATTGCATATATACTGAAAAATCCACCTCTGCTAAGATATAAGCAATTATGTGAACAGTGGTCGGCAAACTCATTAGTCAACAGAGCCAAATATCAACAGTATGATTGAAATTTCTTTTGAGAGCCACATTTTTAAAACATGTGAAGTACCAAGATTGGCACCTACTTCTAAAACCCAAGAATGCTTACTTCATAGAGGTCACTTGGAGCAATGTCATCTTTTGGGAAGATAGTCAATTGATTACAAAGTAATTTCCTCTTCTAGGTACCAATAATTGCTATTTAATGATTTACTTCTGCCACTAGTTTCTTTAGATACTCTATGATAATGAAATATTTCATGGAATGTCAAAATGAGACAGATTTTACTCAATAATAAAGACAGCCCAGCTATCTCAAAGGTTGGTTAAAAAAATTCCACATTTAAATAAATTCCACAGTAATTGATTATAAAAATAATCACTAATAACTTCCACCTCCAGTCAAGTGTTTTGAATTGTCTACACTAGGGGTGTCGAACTCAATCAGAGAAGGGGCCAAAATCTAAAATCCAGCCTAAATCGCGGGCCGAATGGTTTACTGAACAGTCATAAACTGTCATTGTGATGGAAACGCAGCGGAGTGCAGTGATGACAGCGCGGTGCGGGCCACATTGCAAGGCCTGGCGGGACGAATTTGGCCAGAGGGCCTTGTGTTTGACACATGTGGTCTACACCAAAACTCATCAAATAAGTTAAAGTGGATTCAGGCCCAGCCCTTGCCCTCAGGGTACAATACCTCTAATTCAGATTCTTCCTTTCTAAAAAGGAAGAAAAAACATTAAAAGGCAGAAGTCTTTCTGGTTCACAAATTCTGAGTTTCTTCTCTAAAACTACTGAAGACTATCATACAGAGGAGGAGACTTGACTTTGTGTGGTAGGGCACACAATATACAGATGAGGTATCATAGAATTGTACACTTGAAACCTATATAATTTTATTAACCAATGTCACCCAAATATATTTAATTAAAAAAATAAAACTACTGAAGAAACAGTAAATGAAACTGTGCTACCTGCTAGCTTCCAGTTCAGAAGACACTGACAATAAAACTTTATTTATTTAGATATTGTTAGGAAATTAGATATTCTGTATGTATGGATTTACCAAATAATGTTTATGAAATAAAGTGACAAACATTTTTATTTCTGAAAAGAAATTAATTAAAAGACATTTACTAGCTTTTTTATTTTTTAGCAATGGTCCATTAAAGTGATTTGATTTAACCTTTTAGCAGTAGCTCAGGGTCTTCATTAGCCCATTAGTTCATATTTTATAAAACAGGGTGGTTTTACAGCAAAAAACAAACAAACCATCAATTTTTTAAAAGTTGGGTATATTGAGATATAATTTACACGCAATAAAATTCACCCTTTTTAGTATACAGTTCTCAAAAATGCTTTTAGTGATGTAACCACTTCTGCAATCAAGATAAAGACCAGTTCCATCATTTCCCGTATTTCTTTGTCTGGCATTTAAGAAGAATAAGTCAATCCCTACCTTCCCCTTACCCACAGTGATGCCACTGACACTACTGAGGAATCCTTTGTTTGACCCTAAAATACAAATCATACGCTATGGCCCACTGCCTGATTTTGTAAATAAAGTTTTATTGGAACACAGCATGCCCATATATTTACTTATTACCTATGGCTGCTTTCACGCTATGATAGTGAAGTTGAGGAGTTGCCACAGACACCTGCAAAGCCTAATACAGGAAAAGTTTGCTGACTTTTGTTGCAGACTACAGTATTATGGTTTTTCTCTTAGCACCTTTTTTCTTCTTAAAATATGCTACTATTTCTTAAAGCACCTGTGTACAGCAAACTTCCAATTCTCTTTTTCAGCTACTATTCTGCTCTCATTTGATGCTAATATGGACCTACTATAGATTCTAAGGGCAACTGATTTTCTGACATTCATATTCCTCACTTTTTAGATAACAGATAGTTAAGATGGTGAAAAGTTGGCTGAGTAAATGCTACATTGAGATAACAAAGTTAAGATGACATTGTACTGATGTTTAAAATTCTATCACTTAAAAAATTAAAATTACCCCTTTCAGAGAGTGTTCTAAAATTCCACTGTGGGCCCTTTGTATTTTACACAAATAATACTAGTTTTCAAGAAGTCAATTTACTAGGAGGATGCTTTCCTTAAGGCACAATTGTGCTCCTTTCTGAGCATATTAGTGTTGATTAGCGCCTTCTTTTAAAAAGACAACTAGCATGTAGCATAGTTTGTAGAAATTACATTGCATGCTGTTTTAGAGCTTAAAGAAAATCAAAGCACCTCAGTGGTTAATGTTTTTAACTTAGAGCAATGAAAAATAATTGATAATTACCTGGCAGGGAATTGCACCACCCCATTCTTGCTGAACAATGTTGCAAACACCAACTAATGCAGACTCCAAGCAGGTTTTATCATAATCATCCATATTACTTAATGCTTCCTAATTGAATAGAAGATAAAATTGCTCATTTTAATTTGTTATCAGAAAACAACATAGACTGTTAAGGACACTGTTTCTAGAGTCACAAAGCATAGGTCCTTAAAAACAGTAATCAGACTTCCTCAGCTACAAAGGACAATGAACAGAGGTCCCTTTCATTCTGTCCTCTTTGTCAGGTGAGAGTGAACAGCCCACCAAGTTCATATCTTTCTAAGTGGACCTTGAAGGAAATAATTAAAATGAAGCACTTTTAAATACATTACAAAAATGCCAACATTTATTGAGAACTATATCCTAAATATCACTCTAGGCACTTTACATGCATTTACTTATTATAACACCCTATCCATTTTTTAAAAAAAGAATAATTTATTTATTTCTAGAGAGAGAAGGAGAGAGAGAAACATCAATGTGAGAGAGCAACATCGATAGGCTGCCTCCTGCATGCTCCCCATCGGGGATTAAGTCTGTAACATGGGCATGTGCCCTTGATCAGGAATCTAACTGGCAACTTCCTAGTGACTGGGATGACTCCCAACAAACTGACCTACACTGGCCAGGGCTTAACCTGTTTTTTAAAATGAGGAAACTAAGGTACAGAATTAGGTAACTTTCCCAGGTCTCATACCTAGAAGTGTCAGAGTCTAGATCTGAATCCAGTCAGTCTGACTCCAGAACTGTACCATCCACATAAGAGTTCTCTAACTTTCAGAACTGCTGGACATCCAAAATCCTTAGTTTACTCACTTATAAGAAATCCAGTGCAATTAAAAAAAAAAAAAAAAAGCTTTTGAGTCACTTAGAAAAAGTCAGATAAAAAATGATTTAACAAAATTTTATTACTTACACTTTAAAAATCAAACTACACAGATATTGCCTAGCAATTATTAAACTATTCAATTTAATTTCACAAACACATATTGGCTGTTCACTATGGGTAAGGCACTGTGCTAGGCTTTGTTAGGGAATATTAACGTTAGGGAATGGGCCATTACATCTTGAGAACTCCAGGAAACTAAGAGAAGAAAATAAGGCAACAACTCACAGCTCTAACTCATAACCTTACCAAAGACATAAAACCTACTGGTTGTGAATCCTTGTTTTACAGCTATACTTAGATATTATACCCATAGACTTATCATTCAATAATTCCAAGTTTTAAATATTCAGTACAATATGATAACACTTTTTGCTCCCTATCAATTTGATAAACAATTGATACATACAATAACTCATTCCTTTTCATACCTGTAGGGTGTTATAATCCCTTGTGAAGGGAACCATCAGCTCCCAGAGTGATGAAAAAACCACCAGGGCTGTAAATTCAAGCTTGTAATTTGTGGCCATGTGCTCAAACAGCATCGTCAAACCGTGGGCTGCTAGGTGCTTGCGCTGATATTCCTCAGACCCCTCCACAGTCACAGGTCGGGTCATGGAAAGGGATACGTCCATCACCACCACTGTTGGCATGATGAAAATGAGCCCAGCGTTCCCAATCAGAACGCAGACAGACAGCTATAAACAGAAAAATGCTGTAGAAAACAAATATGGTTAGATTATACGTCATGGAGAGTACAAGGTCTTTTATCCCCCCACCACAATTTTTAACCAAATTTCAAGAAATGAGTGGAGGCAAACTCCATTTAAGTTGAGATGAGGGCAAATCTAGAGAATTTAGTGGGAGGGAAGCAAGCAAGCAATCACCCACTAAATGGCTATAAATCAAGAATGGCCTTAAGTATTTCTATTAAAAACACACACAAACACATTAAATTCAGGTAGTTTTGGACTTTCACAGTTCCAAATTTTATTAAACTTAATATAATAAACACTCCTACATCCCCTCTCCAACACTTAATTTATTAAAGAATATTTCTATCTGTCACATTGCGGCACTTTTTGACAACCAACCAGTCTTTTTGGGCACCATCACTATCTTAATAGATACAACAGTACAGTGCAAATGTTTCATTATCTTGTTACTTGGTGTCACCCCCATCTTTTAATTAAAATGAATGTAAAATATAGAAATGAAAGGACTACCCCTAACCGTTTTGGCTCAGTGGATAGAGTGTCAGCCTGTGGACTGAAAGGTCCCAGGTTCGATTCCGGTCAAGGGTTGCGGGCACATCCCCGGTAGGGGGTGTGCAACAGGCAGCTGGTTGATGTTTCTCTCTCGTCGGCGTTTCTAGCTCTCTATCTCTCTCCCTTCCTCTCTGTAAAAAATCAATAAAAAAAAAAAAAATAGACAAAGCTGGAAATCATTAAGCATGACAAAAGCAAGACTATTAGCCTCAGTAGTATTCACTGAATGTAAACAGACAACAAAGCTTTAACCGGGAAGAAAAAGAACAAAGGTAAAGAGTATGTACGACAGCTGGCATTATTTCGTGAAACTGTGTATTAGTCAAAACGTAGAAGAAATGGAAAAAACAAAGAGTTCTTTAAATTTATGGATTGAGCCGAGATCTGTTTTGCTCAGTGGATAGAGTGTTGGCTTGGGGACTGAAAGGTCCCAGGTTCGATTCGGGTCAAGGGCATGTACCTTGGTTGTGGGCACATCAGTTGGGGGTGTGCAAGAGGCAGCTGATCCATGACTCTCTCTCATTGATGTTTCTAACTCTCTATCTCTCTCCCTTCCTCTCTGTACAAAATCAAAAAAATATATTAAACAACAAGGACAACTTACTACTAAAAAAAAATAAAAAAATAAAAAAATAAATTTATGGATTGAGAATTAGCACAAAGAAAACATGTCTGGTCTCAAAAACAAAGAAAAAAGGTCACAGATACACAGACCTGCTCTTGGGAACACAGCTTGCTATTATTAAGCAAACTACAGCCTAATGACACAATAAAATATATAAATAAATGACACATGTAGATATCAGAAATATTTATATAAAGTATTAATAACTGAGAAAAGCAGGTCACAGGATCATATGTATACACTGATTACAACTTCATAACAATCATATTGAATATATACAATTAGGAAAGAATCGGAATGGACATAAACAGGTTAGACACTTAATGTTCACTAATTTCTTTTTTGGAGCTTACTTCAAAACACCTAACAGTGGCCAGACTGCTTGTTTTGGTACAATCTCCAACTGCAAATGTGTGATATTTTAAAAGTCCATGTATAAATAGGCTGCAAGGGGTAGGGAGGCTGGCATGGACTCAGAATATATTAGTTCATGGAAACAAAGTTAAAAATGAGGGCCAGGGACTGAGTCAGGTTGGAAAAACCTCTTTAGCACATAATGAGCGGCCTCAGATACACTTCAAATACAATAATGCCTCTGTATCCAATATCAATAAAGTCTAAACTAGAGATATAAAGTACATTTCCAGACTTTAGAATTCTAAAATATTTAACCATTTTGATAGAAAAAATTAAATTGTGTATTCCTCTTAAATACTGTGCTAAACATATAATTCACGTCTTATGATGACTTGACATCACCACTCTAAACACCAACAATTGCCCAAACAATTGCCACCCTGATGTTTTACTTATAATAGCATTCCCCCAAGTGTGTTATGCAGAACACTGTTCTGGAAGAGTCTTTCAAGAAAAATGAGTTCAGGCCTTATTACAGAAGCTGAGCCCTACAGCAAAGAATCCAATTTAGCCGAAACCAGTTTGGCTCAGTGGACAGAGCATTGGCCTGCGGACTGAAAGGCCCCGGGTTTGATTCCGGTCAAGGGCATGTACATTGATTGTGGGCACATTCCCAGTGGGGGGTGTGCAGGAGGCGGCTGTTGGATGTTTCTCTCTCATCGATGTTTCTAGCTCTCTGTCCCTCTCCCTTCCTCTCTGTAAAAAAAAATCATTAAAATATATTTAAAAACAAAACAAAACAAAAAACCCCCTCAGTGTTTCTGAAGGAGGGTTCACCCGAGCAGTTTAAGGCAGTTTAGATAAAGAGAAAATCCCTGCCCTCCACAGTCCGGCATTGCTGTGAGAGCCTGATGGCTTCCTTTCGTGGGTGAGTCTCACCTGCAAGTTCCCACCCCAGCCCCACACCTGCCCCCAAAGCAGTGCTTGCACACAACGCGCCGGACAAGCAGGGGTCTCCTGAAGCACAGTCTACTGATAACAGACCCTAGCCGCCAATCCGGCCTAGTGCCAGGCCTCCATCAGTGCACATTTATAATGCTCCCCTTAAGGTGACAACCTGCTTATTTATAAAGAATTGATTCTCGGCAGTTTAGCTCTCAGGCGCCCAGGCCTGAGCCGAGGTCCGAGATCCTGGGGTTTGTGCAGAGGAGGCGACGCGGAAAGGGGGAGGCGGGGGGCAGGGCCCCGGAACCGGCGCCGCAGAGACCGCGCGGAGCGGCGGCCCGAGCAGCGGGAAAGCCGGGCGCTGGCCCCGCATAGTTCCCCACCCCTAACCCCCTGCTCCTACAGGTCCTACAGGCGATGGAGACACCCCCGCAGCCGCGGCCTCCCCCACTCACCCGGCGCCCCACGCCGGCGCAGTCCGGCCGCATAAAGCTTCCGCCCGCGCGCCGCAGCCGGAACTATAGTGGTCGCGCGACACAGGGAACCCGGAGCGGGACCGTGCGCGGGCAGGGGGCGGGGCTTCGGGGGACCGTGCGCGGGCCGGGGGCGGGGCTTCGGGGGACCGTGCGCGGGCCGGGGGCGGGGCTTCGGGGGCCGCGCGGCCAGGCGCCCGCTCCGAGGCCGCCAGGGGGCGCTTTCTCCTCAGCGCGGCCCTCTGCCCTCGGTGCTGCATGTGTAACCCCTCGCCTCACAAAACTCCAGTTTCGCTGAGGCCGAGCTGTGTCCGCCCCTTCCCTCCCTCCCTGTCCATTCTCGGGCTCTTCCCCCATTTACCTGTGGGCTCTGGCCCCCCCTCCCCTGGTTCCTGAAACTCTGTGATCCCCTCACACTGTGTCTCCTCCAACCCAGCCCCCTCTGACACCTGCCCCTCTTCTCCGTCCCTCGTCAGACTCCTCCCCTCAGGTTCTCTGAACTAGGGGACCGCATCCTCCTCACACCCCTTTTAAACTGTAACTGCTGCCGGGGGAGTGCGCATTACTGAGCGCGCTGGGCATTTTTCTTAGCTGACCTGAGCCGATTTGCGTGGCAAGACTTCTCCTTTTGTCTCCCCAGCATGTGGCTCTCTTTATCCCCAACCCCTTCTTTCAGGTAAGCAGAGAGCTCAGAATTCCTAATTATTTCCCTAAGCGCAGTTTCCCAAACTTTCGACATATGTGTACCCCTTCTATAATTTTCGTAACACTGAGTACCTCTCGTACTCATGAGAACGCAGAATTAGGCGCAGCTAAGCACGGTGCAGTGCATATCCCTACCAAACTCCGGTGCAACATACCCCCACCGAACTCTTCCCGTACCCCTGGGGATACCCGTACCACACTTTGGAAACCACTGCCCTTAGGGAAGGGATGTGGCCAAGAACTTGTGGGCCAAGGAATGGTCTTGCTCCCCATAATGCAATGATGACTCAGCCATCAGGCTGCCGTTCTGGTAGTTTCCGCGCAGATCCGTGGACTAATTTGTTATCTTCATCCTAAAGCTTAAATTTTCTGGTTTGCTGATGGGTGGGGAGGTCTTGGTGACCTAGTGCTTCTGTATACAGACTTTGGGGAGACTAGGGAAATCAAGGGCAATGTATGAAATCCTATAGAATAAAAGAGCAATATGCAAATGGATTGTTACTCCAGCATACAAGGTGGCCAGCAGGGGAGGGATCAGGCCTGCAAGGGAGGGGAGTTGGGGCAATCAAGCCTGCAGGGGAGGGCAGTTAGTGTAAGGTGACCAGACTTCCCGCTTTTGGCAGGACAGTCCCGATTTTTGATGAGGGACAAATTGTTAAAAATCGGGACTGTCCCGCCAAAAGCGGGACATCTGGTCACCTTAAGTTAGGGGTGACCAGGCCAGCAGAGAAGGAAATTGGGGGTGACTGGGCCTGCAGGGGAGGGGAGTTGGGAGGGGGGAACCCAGGCCTACAGGGGAGAGCAGTTGGGGGGACCAGGCCTGCAGGGGCAATCGGGCTGGTAGGGGAAGTTAGGCGTCAATCAGGCTGGCAGGGAAGTGGTTAGGGGGTGAGCAGGCTGGCAGGCTGGCGAGCAGTTGGGAGCCAGCAGTCCTGGATTGTGAGTCAGACATCCCTTGAGGGGTCCCAGTTTGGAGAGGGTGCAGGCTAGGCTGAGGGACACTCACTCCCCCCCCCAAGCATGAATTTCGTGCACCAGGCGTCTTGTCTGACAATAAAAGGTAACACTACCAAGAGGACTGACTGCATCACTTAGGGCAACTAGTGAGTGCTTTTGCTTTTAAAAAAATTAGTAGAACCTCATTAAAATCAGAAGGTTGTTCAGTGAATATAAAATCAGAGAACATCAGCACAAAAAGAAGGCCTTATCATTTTTTAATTTTTTAAATATGTTTTTTTTTTATTGATTTTAGAGAGAGGAGAGATAGCAACATCCATGATAAGAGAGAATCATCAATCGGCTGTGTCCTGTACACCCCCTGTTGGCGATCAAGCTGCCACCCAGGCATGTGCCCCAACTGGGAATCCAAAGTGATGGCTGGCCTGGCTGGAAGATAGATCTTTCAAGCCTTAGCTGGCTAATGCATTTTCTCTCCCCCCCCCCCCCCCCCGATGAGACCCTCATCATTTTGCATATTTTTGCACATACATTAAAGGAAATCAAGAAACAACTTCTTTACAAAATCTATCATTCCTCCCCCCCTCCCCCTTTATTTTTCTGCTTTGAAACAATGGGCATTGCCCCAGAAGCTTTGAAAGGCAGAGTGGTTTGGTCTTCAGTCTGGCAGAGTAGAGGTTAGTGACAGAAATACCAGCCTGCTTACTGTGCCAGGTACTGAGCTCAAGGGAGGCTCATATATTTAATCCTTCTAGGGCCCGTATTGAAAATGTGGACTTCCAGGCCATGCTGACTGAATTGGAATTCATAATTTGGTGCCTGGAATCTTTATTAAGTCCCGAGATGATTTTTCATCCAGAGAGGTGAAGGGTAAGGAATGAGTAAGCAAAGAAAAGGGGAAGGAAGAGTATGGGGGGAAGCAGTAAGCCCATTTTCCTTTTCTGTTTTTCCCTTTCACTTTCCTATACTATCCTTTGCCCCGTGTCTTCCTTCCTGCCTCCTCTAGCTAGACCTTGACCACTCCCAAATCATACTTCCAAGTTCTAGGCTGTCCCCTTCCTCCATCCCTAAACCACACTCCACTCTTTTCACCAAAATGGATGTCTAAAAAAATAGTTGTGACACTTCTCTCTTCTTAAAATATTTTGTTATTGGAAAATTTCAAACATAGACACAAATAGGGGAAATAGCATAATAAATCCTCATGTACCCTTCACTCAGCTTTTACTGTCAACTCAATTCTCAATCTTATTTCATTTATACCTCTACCCACTTTCTCCAACATATTATTTTGATACAGATTCTAGATCAGATAATATTTTGTCCATAAATACTTCAGTATGTAGCTCTAAAAGACAAGGGCTTATTTTTTAACTAATAAACTTTATTTTTTTAGAGCATTTTTAGGTTCACATCAAAATGGAGTGGAAAGTACAGAGAGTTCCATATAATACACACACACACACACACACACACACACACACACACACACACATACAGCCTTCTGCACTATCAACATCTCATTCCAGAGTGATATACTTGTTATAATCCATGAACCTACATTGACACATTATAACCCAAAGTCCCTGGTTTACCTTAGGGTTCACACTTGGTGCTATACATTCTATAGATTTGACAAATTTATGATGACATGTATCCACCATTATAGAATTATACCAGAATAGTTTCACTGCTCTAAAAATCCTTTGTACTCTGCCTTTTTATCCCTCCCTCTCCCCTGACTTCTGACAACCACAGATCTTTTTATTGTCTCCATAGTTTTGCCTTTTTCAGAATGTCATATATTGATAGTTGGAATCATACAGTGTGTAACCTTTTGAGACTGGCATTTTTTGCTTAGTAATATGCATTTAAGTTTCCTCCACATCTGCTCATGGCTTGATAGCTCATTTGTTTTTAGTACTAAATTATTCCACCTTCTGAATTGGGTTCCTTTTTCCATCTTTCTGGACCAGACTGAGAAGGTGTTACATAGTTTGTTCAAGAAGGAAAGTAACTGGATCTGATGCTTCCTGCAGGAGTCTAAGGGCAAGGAGGTAACTCACATAGGTCAGCCCCTCTACCCAGGCTCCCAACATTCAGAGTGACTTCAGGACACTCAGAGATGAAGAGAGCTCTTCCACAGTGGGTGGGCACCTCTGTGTGCTCTGCAGAGGAAGCTGGGAACCTCCTCACTGTCATAGGCCAGTGGGGGTGGGGGCTCTCAGGGATTACCTGCTCTTTCCAGTGAAAGTAATCAAAGCGGCATGCGATGCATGTACCTTGGGGGAAACTGGGCGGGGAGAAAGGAGTAACCAATAAGTATTAGGCAGGGTTAGTTGAAAGATTGAAAAGGCTGCCAGGTCCATGCGTAGGATCATGAGACAACCCAATTGCCTCACTTCACTCCCACTTCATTCACCCCCAGCCCTGAGTTGGAGAGACACAACTCCTGAGGTATCTTGGGATGTTCCGGTCTGCTCAAGGGAGATCTGCCAGTGCCCTCTTCCCCAAGATTGTCCTTAGGCCTAATAACATATTTTGCATGTGTGAAATGCTTTAAAGCTTTATAAAGTATCTTCCTCGCATTTCTTCATTTTTTAAAAATAGACTATTTCAGCTAGAATTTGGAAACAGCCTAGGTGCCTGTCAGCAGATGATTGGATCAAAAAACTATGGTACATCTACACAATGGAATACTATGCTGCCATAAAAAAGAAGGAATTCTCATCATTTGCAGCAACCTGGATGGAATTGGAGAACATCATGCTGAGTGAAATAAGCCAGTCAATGAAAGAGAAACACCACATGACCTCACTCATTTGTGGATAATAAAGAACATTATAAACTGATGAACCAAAAGATAGATATAGAGACAGTAAAGCAACAAGCAGACTGTCAAATTACAGCAGGGAGGGTAGGGAGATCTGGGGGAGATAATAGATCAATCGAAGGACTTGTATACATGCATATAAGTACAACCAATGGACACAAAACTCCGGGGAGGGAGGGTATGTATGGGATGGGGGGGGGGGCAATGTTAAAATATGTACACAGATAATAATTTAATTTAAAAAATGTAAAAAAAAAAAAATAGACTATTTCTACCCTGGCTGGTGTGGCTCAGTTGACTGAGTGTTGTCCCATGACAGACAGATTGCCAGTTTGATTCCCAGTCAGGGCACATACCCAGGTTGTGTGTTCCATCCCTGAGTGGGGTGTGCACGGGAGGCAACTGATCCGTATTTCTCACATTGATCTCTCTCTCTCTCTCTCTCTCTCTCTCTCTCAATAAAAATATATCTTTAACAAAAATAATCTATTTTTAGAGCAGTTTTAGGTTCACAGCAAAATTGAGCCGATATTCCCTCATTTAAAATTATGATTCTCACATCTATCCTACAAATAGGTGAGTGGCTATTATTACCTCTACATTTACA